TACTTTAAACGGAATATTCTAAATTAAACATTATTTAATTTTACAAAATTTTATATTATTATTACTTTATACTTGCAAAATACACAATTAACCAATATCTCTTGTATAATAGACTTATTGATTATAAGGTGCACATTTTATGAATTTAAATGTCCATAAATAACGTTTAATGTATGATTATATTTTCACAAATTACGACAGTTATTTGCCACAGGGTACACATTTCCATCTCGTTAAACTTTAAACGGAATATTTTTAATAAAACATTATTTAATTTGACAACATTTTATATTATTATTACATCATATTCATAAAATACACAATTAGAAAATTCCATTGTGTAATAAACTTATTGATTAATAAATGCGCATTTAATGTTTTTAATTGTCCATAAATAACGTTCAATTTGTATTAATATTTGCATAAATTACGGCAAGTGTTTGCCCACAGGGTACACAGTTCCAGCTTTTTAAAATTTATTAAAACAGATTTGAAATTAAACATTTTTAATTTGACAAAGTTTTAAATTATTATTACATTATACTTATAAAATACACAATTAACCAATATCTTTTGTATAATAGATTTATTGATTATAAAGTGCGCATTCTATGAATTTCAATGTCCATAAATAACGTTTAATGTATGTTTATATTTTCACAAATTACGACACTTATTTGCCACAGGGTACACATTTCCATCTCGTTAAACTTTAAACGGAATATTTTAAATAAAACATTATTTAATTTTACAAAGTTTTATATTATTATTACATTATACTTATAAAATACACAATTAGACAATTCCATTGTGTAATAAACTTATTGATTAATAAATGCGCATTTAATGTTTTTAATTGTCCATATGTGTAATAGACTTATTGATTAATAAATGCGCATTTAATGTTTTTAATTGTCCATAAATAACGTTTAATTTGTGCTAATATTTGCAATAATTACGGCAAGTGTTTGCCCACAGGGTACACATTTCCATCTCGGTATACTTTAAACGGAATATTTTAAATAAAATATTATTTAATTTTACAAAGTTTTATATTATTATTACATTATACTTATATAATACACAATTAGACAATTCCATTGTGTAATAAACTTATTGATTAATAAATGCGCATTTAATGTTTTTAATTGTCCATAAATAACGTTTAATTTGTGCTAATATTTGCAATAATTACGGCAAGTGTTTGCCCACAAGGTACACATTTCCAGCTTTTTAAAATTTATTAAAACAGATTTGAAATTAAACATTTTAAATTTGACAAAGTTTTGAATTATTATTATATTATACTTATAAAATACACAATTAGACAATAGCACTTGTATAATGGCTTTATTGATTAATGAATGCTAATTCCATGAATTTCAATGTCCATAAATAACGTTTAATGTGTTTATATTTTCACAAATTACGACACTTATTTGCCACAGGGTACACATTTCCATCTCGGTATACTTTAAACGGAATATTTTAAATAAAATATTATTTAATTTTACAAACAAAATATAATAATAATGTAATATGAGTATTTTATGTGTTAATCTGTTAAGGTAACACATTATTTGAATAACTAATTATTTACGCGTAAATTACAAAAATTAACAGGTAAAATAACGTTCAATTTGTATTAATATTTGCATAAATTACGGCATTTGTTTGCCCACAGGGTACACATTTCCAGCTCTTTAAAGTTTCAAAAGAAAATTTTAAATTAAACATTTTTAATTTGACAAAGTTTTAAATTATTATTACATCATATTCATAAAATACACAATTAACCAATATCTTTTGTATAATAGATTTATTGATTATAAAGTGCGCATTCGATGAATTTCAATGTCCATAAATAACGTTTAATGTATGTTTATATTTTCACAAATTACGACACTTATTTGCCACAGGGTACACATTTCCAGCTCTTTAAAGTTTCAAAAGCAAATTTAAAATTAAACATTTTCAATTTGACAAAGTTTTATATTATTATTACATTATACTTATATAATACACAATTAGACAATAGCACTTGTATAATGGCTTTATTGATTAATGAATGCTCATTCCATGAAGTTGATTGTCCATAAATAACGTTTAATTTGTGCTAATATTTGCATAAATTACGACAAGTGTTTGCCCACAGGGTACACATTTCCAGCTCTTTGAAGTTTCAAAAGCAAATTTAAAATTAAACATTTTCAATTTGAAAAAGTTTTATATTATTATTACATTATACTTATATAATACACAATTAGACAATAGCACTTGTATAATGGCTTTATTGATTAATGAATGCTCATTCCATGAAGTTGATTGTCCATAAATAACGTTTAATAAAAGTTTTATATTATTATTACATTATACTTATATAATACACAATTAGACAATAGCACTTGTATAATGGCTTTATTGATTAATGAATGCTCATTCCATGAAGTTGATTGTCCATAAATAACGTTTAATTTGTGCTAATATTTGCATAAATTACGACAAGTGTTTGCCCACAGGGTACACATTTCCAGCTCTTTATGGCTTTATTGATTAATGAATGCTCATTCCATGAAGTTGATTGTCCATAAATAACGTTTAATTTGTGCTAATATTTGCATAAATTACGACAAGTGTTTGCCCACAGGGTACACATTTCCAGCTCTTTAAAGTTTCAAAAGCAAATTTAAAATTAAACATTTTCAATTTGAAAAAGTTTTATATTATTATTACATTATACTCATAAAATACACAATTAGACAATATCCATTGTGTACACATTTTCAGCTCTTTAAAGTTTCAAAAGCAAATTTGAAATTAAAAGTTTTCAAAAGTAACAACGTTTTATATTATTATTATTACATTATACTAATAAAATATAATATATACAGATTTTATATTTTAATCATAATTTATTTATAAAATACGCAATTTAGCAATATCATTTTTATAATTGACTTATTTACTATTAGACGCGCATTTTATATAATTATTTTTGTCCATAAATAACGTATAATTTGTGTTTATATTCGTATAAATTACGGCAAGTGTTTGCCCACAGGGTACACATTACCAGCTCGATTAAATTTAAAAGGCAAATTTGAAATTAAACATTTTCAATTTGACAAAATTTTTAATATTGTATTTTCATTTAAATTGTTTTTAAAAATAAAATTCAAAGTTTATTTACAATACAATCACTCGACTGATTGATTCAGTGATTTATAGATCAATGGTAAAGCCGTAAATCTATATGACTTACACATTAATATCATAACATATTTGGCACACATTTGTAAACTTATAATTTATTAATAATAAAAATGCACTGAATTTATAGCAATTGTGGATCACTTGTGGTTGAGTTGGACTCGCAGTCGGTTTCCATAAGATTAACACCGGATTTGTATTCATAGTATTCTTTGGCCATTTGTGTCAACTTGAGTGCCATATTCTTCCCGCTCTGTCGGACCAGTTTAGTGAACACACCCTCACTATTGGCCAACAGTTCGTACGGCACTCCCATCTCTGCGATCTCTCCCGCGTCTAAAACCTGTCAAACAATCATTAAATTACAATTAAAACCAATAAATGACTGAAACATACGATAACTTTATCGGAATCGATGATTGTGTTGAGTCTGTGAGCGATTGTAATAACAGTGCAATCATTGAATTTATGGCGAATTGTGTTTTGAATCAATGAATCGGTTTTGTGGTCCACATTAGCGGTCGCCTCGTCCAACACCAGTACCCGATTGTCCCGCAGTATAGCTCTGGCCAAACACACCAATTGGCGCTGACCTGCGCTGAAATTACTGCCCCCTTCGGTGACCATACCGTCGAGATGTGCGGGCAGTTGTGTCACCAGCTCTTTCAGCCGCACCTCTTCTATCGCCGACCAGAGTTTGTCGTCCGAGTGTTCGTCAAACGGATCCAAATTCTTGCGCACAGAACCCGTGAAAATGACCGGATCCTGAGGTATGATGGATATGACTCGACGCAAGTCATGCAAACCCAGCGATTTGGTGTTCACGCCGTCTATGAGTACAGCGCCGTCCGGTTCTGTCATCCGGAATAGGGCTGCGATGATCGACGACTTGCCGGCGCCCGTCCGGCCCACGACTCCCACCTTTTCGCCCCCTTTTATGCGGCAATTGATTCCCCGGAGCACTGGTTTCGGCGACTCGTTGTACTGTAGGCTCATATCGACAAAACTAATGGCTCCGGTTTGGGGCCAATCGGTTGGCGGTCGACAGTCGGGCGCCGACTCGAGCTCAGCCTCCGGTGCGATACGCGAGTACTCAAGCATTCGCTCGACTGCTGTCATATAGGACTCGACGTCCGCCGAACAGCGGACACCCCATTGAGTCATTCCCGTCAACATTAGTGCTGTTGTAATCGGGAAATGAGTTTTCAATTCAATTACTGTTCAAATGTTTGAATAATATATCACTTTTTGCATACCTTGTGATAGTATAAGACCGGCGTCTCCGCCGGGAAGACCTGTTAAATGCAATAAATGAGTGTTAGTTAATGATATGATTTATGTGTAATATTGTTAAATGACTTATACCCTGATAAACCATAATGAATGTGACGACACAACTGATATACATGATGCAAATCCAGTCCATAAGTATACCAAAGCCTCTGGAAGTGCAGACATACATGAAGAATGAGGCGCTGTTGTCGTTCTGGAAGCGATCAAACTGTCGCTCAAACAGCGATTCGGTGCCAAACGCCCGGACAGTCGACAGACCCGTCAGTGTTGTGCTTACGTGCGAATACAGTGGACTCCGGGCTACACATGTGTGCCAATGAAATAGACATTAAAGTTAGTTGAATAACAAACTCATGGATTTCATACACAATCCCTCCAGACGTTTGATATCTCTCGCGGATCTGATGTAGAAATATCTGGCGATAAACACAACGCATATCAGAAATAGTGCCGGAAATATGAGAAACCAATTGACGATCGCATTCATCACTAGTATTCCCATAGCGTTTGAAATTGTCTATCATTTTGATGTAAAAATACTTCATTCAAACAAAACAACAATTATTTATAACAAAAATCTCATACCATTTGTAAGTCATATGCCGTTGAGGGCAGGGCTTCGTCGACAATACCCGTGTCTTTAGTAAATCGGTTTAAAATTCGGCCTTAAATTAAACAATTCATATAAATTTATGGCAAATTAATAGACATAAGGTTTACAGTGGGAACAGACCGACTGGTGAGCTGTCAAACACATGTATGGGTGCTCTCAATAGGGAGTAGAATATTCTGTTGTGAAGATTAACCGACGATCGCATACACATCACGAAGAATGAGGTACTTCTGGCCAACGCTGTCAGGAATAGGGCTCCGATTAGACACGAGTAGATCAAGACATTCATGTTTTGGTTCACATGACCGCCCGGTTTGTCCAATTCGTTGGTCCTTATAATCAATACATTAATTACTCATAACTACAACACATGATTGCAATTGTCATACCATTGAGTTAACCAGTAATCGCTTCCCTGATAGAGACACTGAGAGACAACCATTGATACCAACGTAACGGTCATAAGTATAGGTCCGGCGCCGGCCTTAATGTATTCGCAATAAACACCTCCACTAATAGATCCAATCTCTTTGGTCTCCTCTTTCACTTTGGGCTCGTCTTCGGCCAAAACATCCATTGCTTTGATTTCATCGATCGGAGCGTCTGAATGGCCGCCAATACTGCTGGTGATGGAGGGGCTGATAGAGACGGACCGATTCATATGTCTAAAGGCTGTGTTAGTGTCTGTCTTATCGGTTGTCGTGTTTTTCTTGTATTTAGTGTCGGTCACGAAAGACATGAAATTAATGCCTTTTGCCTTCAATTCTTCATAACTTCCAAATGCTATACATTTGCCTTCTTTTAGGACCAGAATCTTATGCGCGTCTCTCAAGAACTGGATCTGATGTGTGACTAATACTCGGGCCTTATCTTTGAGGTACTCAACAATACATCTAAATTATAACAAAACAAAAATACATTAATAAGTGTTTAACGATAACAAACAAAATTCAACATAAAATCAATTGATTTTTACTTTTGAAATATATGTTTGGCGACCGACGCGTCCACAGCGGACAGGGGGTCGTCCAGGAGATAGACATCCGCCTCGCGATACAAAGCCCGGGCTAACGTGATTCTGGCCTTTTGTCCGCCGCTTAACGACACCCCTCTCTCTCCGACCAGAGTTTTGTCGCCAAAAGGAAAGAGTTTGAAATCCCTGTCGAGAGCGCACACATCGACCACTAAGCCCGGGCTAACGTGATTCTGGCCTTTTGTCCGCCGCTTAACGACACCCCTCTCTCTCCGACCAGAGTTTTGTCGCCAAAAGGAAAGAGTTTGAAATCCCTGTCGAGAGCGCACACATCGACCACTCGTTTGTATTTGTGTTCACAGAATTCACTGCCAAACAGATATAAGAGAGACTAACATCTGTACTTTCGGGTGCTGAGGACGCCGCGCATGCTGTGGGCTGGGCTGTGAGCGTCAGCAGGGCTGAGATATCAGTTGAGTAAGTTGTAACTGTAGTTCTTACTCGAGAAAATTCAAAGTAAATAATTTAAATTAAATTATTTTCTCAAATTGTCAGCAAATGACATACCTTTCCACTGCCAACGGATCCAATCACTGCTAATAACTCTCCCGATTTAATCACAGCGCTTATCTCATGCAGTGTTGGTTCAGGTGTTTCCTAATGTTTATAAAAATGATTTTTAATTTAATAATCAATAAAATTGCTATTTTATGCATACATTACTCCAACGGGCAGTCATTCTGTCAACAAAAATGCCTTTTTCTTCGTCGTCTTTATTTGACTTTTCATATCCTCTACTAATGTCTGCTTTTTTATTGCCATTCAAGTCATCACTCGATCCGTCGGTAATTTGATTATCAATTTCTTCGAGCAATAAAAATGTCTGAAAAATATTTTATTAATTCAAAAATAAATTAAATAAAACACACTATGAATGCAAACTTTAATCCTTTTACAAGTGACCATTAGTTCAGCTGTGGTGGCGATTCCCTGCGGGAACTGTTTGGTGACAGTTATGCGCATTGTGTTGAAGTAAGCCATTGTCACGAACACCGCTTCGGCGGTAAGTCTTTCATTGAGATATACAAAAGTGATAAAACAGGCGAACAATACTATCTTCGAGGCGACGAAATAAAACGATAGATTCACTGCCTTTAGAAAACTTGATTGTCTTATTTTCACCACTTCTTGCCTATCAATCAAACAATATTTTAAACATTAATAATGACAATGAATTTCACGATTAAACCATAATTAAGGAACAAGATTTACAAGCAAAGCTATATGTTAACCACAATTCAGGACAAGTAATTATTTGTATGAAATTAAACTACTGTACTGTATATGCATTTAAGAGAAGTTGTTTAAAAAATTTTAATTAATAGTGTTATGGGAGGAAAGACTGATGCATCCTATAAACTACAGGCGCTTAAAGTAGCATTCTAATACTCCTAGCCTTGAAAATGCCGAAACTTGCATAGAGTAATGACTATATATCAATAAAATGAGTAAAATTAGTAGTCATTACTCTATGCAAGTTTCGGCATTTACAAGGCTAGAAGTATTAGAATGCTACTTTAAGCGCCTTTACTATAAACTACAATTTGTACAGAATTGTGGTGAATAGTTTCAAACATAATTCGCAAGTAGTTTATAACAATTGCTTTACTTGCGAGCGTTTGCCACCAATTGTGCGAATGGCTTCTCCCAGGTATACATTCAGGACAAGTAATTATTTGTATGAAATTAAACTACTGTACTGTATATGCATTTAAGAGAAGTTGTTTAAAAAATTTTAATTAATAGTGTTATGGGAGGAAAGACTGATGCATCGATATTTGATGTTAAACATGTCTTAACACCACTTATCAAAGTTTGTATTAAGCGTTCATCAAATATTGTTAACGAAATGAACGCTCGCAAACGGTGGTTAACACGCTTACCGAAGAGGGTCCATATGATTTTGATGACTCGCATTCCGGTTATGATTTCGTTCATAATTCTGATCCTATTGTCCGTCAATTTGGCGGTATTTCGGCGAACGGTTGCGAAACTCTTACCCATCAGTCCCTGGAATGGTATGAATAGCACGAGTACTGTAAGACCGGCCAAACACGCGAACCCCAAGTGTTCCCAAAGCATGTATAGTATTAATGCCGACTGAAGGGGTGCCACAACCCAGGAATGGGCAGAAAATGCAAACTATGTTCAATTAAAATTACACATTAATTTCAAACACATTTTAAATGAAATAATAAAATACTTCATCGATTCGGTTCACATCGTTGGACATTAGGTTCAATATCTGGCCGACAGTTGTCTTTCCTAATGCCGTACGGCTTAAACGCATTGACTGTTAAAAATAATAATAACCATAAACTTAATCCCTTTATAACAATAGATAAGTTGTGACATAAAAAGCGATACTTTTTTATACATGAGAGCACAACAGGCGACTCTCATTCTGAGCCCAAACTTCATTACATAACATATATTCAAGTGATTGAATGTAACGAAAAGGGCTGAACAGCCGACAACTCCGGCCGCAGACAACGCGGCGGTCTTGTAGTCAATGGGATTGTCGTTATTATTCTGGAAATATCTGACCACTTGTCCCAATAGTATCGGTTGACTCACTCTCACCACCAGTTCCTGAGAGTATATTGTTTTATATAATATATTGAAAAGTTAGGTATAATTTTCAGTGTTTGTCAATTACTTGAAACATGAAAACCAAAAGTAATGGCAAAAAGTCTAAACCAAACGCTCGGAAGAGAGCCTTTGCAAGACTTGGATTCGCTTTCTTCAGCTCTTTTTTCCATTGACTGACAATAAAATAAAATAATTTAATTTAAATAGATTTTAATAAATGAATTGCATTTATGGTTATGATAATTACATTTCTAGTCTATTCTGTACTTTATGTGATTCGTCTCGTTTGGCACACCGGTAGAGATCCTTAAACTCGAGGTCCTTTTTGTGGCCCTTTATATATATACTCCAAACCCAACTGAAAACACAATTAATTAATTATTATATATTTATTTTTAATTATTATTATCATTATATTTGATACAAATATTTACAGGCAATAAATTTACTAAATCACTGTTTACCACAATCAATCGCTTTATAACTGTATAAAACTTTATACAGTCTGTAACAACACAATAGTTTATCTCAATTTGAATTTACAGTTAGGAAAAATGTAAAAATGATACATTTTAGAGATAAGTAAACTATTCTATCATTTTTAAAATTGTGATATAAAATGATAACATTTGTCATTAATTAAATGCAGGGTAACTTACGTGAAAAATAATTTCGATATGGGATTGACAGTATCGAAGGGCGAGGGCCGGCGTATCATCTCTTCAGTCTCCATAACTCTATCACTTGTCAAATATTTCAATTTACTAAATATTTATACATTTACCACAAACTTCTCATTTATTTGTTATATCACAAACAAAAATGTGAAAGTTGTTTATAAAGTTTTATATGGTTAAAACTCTTGGTTATATACAATATATGATATATCATTAAAATGCATGTAATTTTTATAGCCCGTCGCATATCTATACGATTTGTACCCTAATGTTATAAACACCTTTTAATTAAACATGTGATATTTATTTTTGGTATAAGTCTTAATTTTTATATAAACCTATTAATTCCATAATAATATAATACTTTAATACTTGACAATATTACTTGTAATATTAAAATATGATAATGTGCTATAATATTAATTAATATTTGTATTTCAATGGAATTTCACAGAATCCTTATTAGTTAACAAATGTTATGATAAAACTATAGTTAAATTCTCATAATTTGTTCAAAATTACAAAAGTTATTTATTTTATAATGCCTAAAATATTTTCATTACTAAAACTATATTATATATAAGTGTAAATTTCCCAAAAAGAACAGGCACATTTAAACTAAATAAATTAGAATATATATTTTTATTGTGAAGAATTTACAACACTTTATATGAGGTTATAAACATTAATATAGATAAATATATTAATATTAATTAATTTGTTTTTATATAATATAAGGTTATATACAATGAATAATATTATTAAAAAACTTAATAAGAGAATGTAAGTAGACTTTTATAAACGTATTTAATTCAACAAAATGTATGGATAATAAAACACCAAAACATTAACGTAAATGAATAATATTTTTATAACAATTATTTAAATAAGTAAATAACAACTAAAAAGTACATATAACAGTCAAATAATACATAATAGAGATAACAATTAGTGCGATCGTATACTTAAAATCGAAATTTAATTTGTAAAATGTTTATATTTATATTTTTAACAACTATATTTATTATATAAATAAATTTACCAAATACAATTAAAATTTTATTAAATATAATTTGAATAATATTCCAAATTCAAAATATAACACAAAATAATGTATGCAATGGTAACCCAACAATCAGGTATAAGCATTGAATTTTAGCATTGAATTTTACTATTTTGGCATGTAGTTACATTTGAGCATAAATTGTATGTAATGATATTGTAATAAATATATATTTAATAGTTATCTAATCTTCATATACTGTATATACAAAATTTGTCATATCAACCAAGCATGAAATTTAAGCTATAAAAGAACTAGCCGCCACACAAACACCTTTATATATTGAACAATGATCTAATGTTTTCCTATGGGGCAATATGCTACTATGGAGAATATGAAAATGTAATAATAATTCTATATGATTCTTTTGCTGTACGCATAAATTTTGAATAAAAAACATGATAAATCTATTCCATTTATTACATTATAAAGATAAAATCACTCGTTTGGGTGCAATCACTGTTTCCCTTCATTTCAATTCATAAAACAAAACAAATGCTTCATTTAATCATCACTTCATTACTAAACAATGCCATAAATATAGACCAGAGAGACATACAGTATATAAATGGTATACATTAAGGATATATCGCGTGAAAAGGACGATAAGGTAAATTAAATCGCTGTCATTCATAGACCTTAATAATAATTATATGATGTGATTATAGGATGAATGTCTGGGCAGTGATGCGGGAGCTGTGGTTGTGTACAACTCCGACGGACAGGTCGTCCACATCAAGGGTTTCCGGAGGCATGGATTTGTCCAATGGATCAAAAACCACAAACTATTGGTCGGTCTAATCGTCGCCGCAGTACTCGTAGCTATAGTGGCGGCCACAGCGGCGGTCATTGTTGTAGTGTTGGGTCAACAGGAAATGGACGACGAGGTAATTGACACAACACTGTCGACGACAACCAACACCACATCAATAACAATCACAACAAACACTACATCCGAGCCAATGATTGACCACTTATTGGCCACAATTGTGGTTAATAGGGGTCACGTGCGAGACAAAGACCGGACACCCCTCTCGTCATACAGTGACGCCTACGTCAAGGCCTATATTGATAACCAATATATCGGGAGCTCCGGCACCGACGGCGACACACTGTGGCTGAACTGGAACTACCAATTTGTCCATCGGATGGCCATTAGAGCGGACAGTGTTATACTGTTTGAGTTGTACGACTCGGACAGGTTTAACGCCGACGAGTTTATCGGCCGTTTTGTGGTCAAAATGTCTGATTTGATTGCCAACGACTCCAACGGCCAGACAGTGAGCCAACTCTTCGGTGGCGGTCAGCTATGGTTCACCGTTTCGTGGACTGTGGTGTACAAGGATTTAGTCATTGGTGTAACTAAAGTGTTAATTTGAAATTATCGTAAAGTTATTCTGATGCTATTTTTTATAAAAATTACGACAACAAAATAATTAGTATTAAAATCTAATATTTGTATTCATTTGATTGACACATTTGAAGTTATAATTCAAAACTTTTGCCACTTTTTTCACTAATATTGTCTACAATTTACCACAACTTCTGGGTCTTAAACTCATACCAGTGTTTGTGTCGAATTGAATGCATTGTCAAGACTGACACAAATCCGTTGCATTCATTTTAACGCTTAATTTTAATAATTGTCCTTAAATTAAAAAGTATTAAATTGTATTAATTATAATAGTTTTCGAACGTGTATTTAATTTATTGCCTGTTTTCAATTAGTTTAATAATTAAATACAAATCTAATGAATGAAATTAAAGCAAATTTTATTGACAAAAATTTTAAACTAAAATAATACATAAAGTGAAGTCAAAAGCGATATTTTTTTTACAAATATTGTGTCAATTTTAAGGGATGTCGGCTGCGGCCAAATCGATACGATAGTGAACAAGGTCGTGTTGGTCGTACACGTCTAATATGTTTCCCAAAATCGGTTCCCAGTGTTGGCTATGAAAGGGTTGTGCCATTTCAGTAGCCGTAATGTCCGACAGATAAGCATCGATTGCGGGTATTGTTTGCTGGACTGGATTTGTCGTATAGTTTGCATGAACGGGGTTTGTGGCCAAAAAATTTAACAATTTTCTGAATTGCATAGAATTTCTTCTAAAATTGTTGACAAAACATGCAGTAAATGAAAGTCCGACCGCCGTATGAATGTATAGTAACTCTGAAATGTTGGCATAAGTGTAGAAATTGGTGAGAATGTTGTCCATCTCTGTCAACCATTCGTTACACAATCGCTTATATAACTCCCGATAAATGCCTTTTAATAGATGTTTCGTTTGATTGAATACTTTGGATATGTTGTCGAACTCGTCATTGAAATCAACGAAATAGGTGTCCAAGATATCGATTAATCGATTGATACCTTTTATAGTCCTAACGATAGTAACCCAACCCGGCTTTGATAACGAGAAATTGAACGGACGCCTCGGCGCTGTCCCGATCACTGCCGACACGTCCACCACATCGTAGACTTTAGCCAAGAATTTAGCCACAGTTGAGATAATGACAGAAGAAATGGCTTTTGACAAGTGGTGGACAAAATGGTCGAGCATTTCGTACAGAGATTCGTAATTTGCCGGCAAATCAGCCGTCGATCTCAGTATTTGTGTTCGATATATGACTTCCACTGAAGTGATGTATTCGTGTATATTATTAAACAGATTTTGAATAATTGCAGAGAATTTGATGCGATTGTCGCCGTTATTGTTGATCCAAGTGTAGAGTCTTTGGTATTCAAAATGAGCGGATTGTAAGATATCGTTGACATCAACACAATTTGGGTCTTGAAAGCGAGCCCTTCCCCAGAAGTTGACGTAAAACTCTTCGACGGCTTGTTGTGTGCTATCATTGATCCGAAAGAGTCTTTCGTTGGGAAAATTGGTCGCAAATGTGGTCTCAATGTTGTCGACGTTGAAAATGAATTCAAATACACCGAAGACCTGAATAACGCCTGTATTGTAATCATTGCGGGTATTCACGAAAGAATCGATGCAATAGTGTTGGACACCAAACAGATATGAATACACTTTCAGTGTATATAATGTGGAAAATTGTCGCAATTGATTGGCAACCATAGGACCGGTCCGACCAAATTCAAAGCCAAACCAATACTTTTTTTGTTGAACGCCTCCCACAGTAATAGTCTTCGCGGATTGAGTTTTGAATATGTTTTCAAATTCATAGCATAACTGGAGATCTGTGTTATCGGTTTCAAATGAAATCAATGGACTAACTCTTGTGAATATCATGGAAACCGACCGAAAGATTGTCAGCAATGTATTGATTTCAACCCTAATATTTAATAGGTTTCCTTCGGCGCCAATTCCGCCAATTCTTGTGAGCATTTGTCTCCGTTTACTAATCACTTCTTCGGCGACTCGACCGCTGTATTCAAACTCTTCAGTGAATAAGTACTCATTGCTAACGAATTCGCGCTTTTTAAACAAAGTTTTCACGCCTTGTTTTATGCAATTCTTGTAATGAACTTTGAGATATTTTGATAACTCTTTTCTCCATTGCTTCTTCATATCTGTGGCCACATATGTGTCGTTCAATGCAATCAATTGATGCAAATCTGTCATCAATTTTATGAATCTAAGCATATCTTCGACGCAAACGTTGGACAACGGATTAGCGTCTAATTGTTCCCGAAGTGTTTTGGATTTAATGTCATATCTCACAGATTTGTAGGAAATGGGGTTCAATTCTCGAAACTCGTTCAGACAATCATTGTATTCATATTTATATGCGTTATGAGTGTTGAAGAGTTGGTCGCGAATTTGTCGCCGAATATCATTTGCGCCATAAATGAGTCGAAAGATCGGTGTTTTTGGCGGAGTGTGAGGAATGGATGCATTTCTGGCTACTTCTGTGCCCACAAAGAGATATACTTCGGGAACGAGTGTCCGATTCGTGAGATAGAGTCGGTTGTGTTGAACCATAAGAAACCGATAGATAGGGTTGAAGTGGAAGAATGCGTTCCAA